ATGTAATATTTACCTAATCAGTGATAATTCTGGCAAATAATATAATAACTTCAAGAATTTGAAGTATATTGACCCTAGGTGTTGGTAACAGTCATCAGTTTTATTGACAATAAAAGTCAATATATATTTTAGAAAGATAACCAAATGAATTCTACCAAACATTAAAAGAAGACTTAAAACCTATTCTTCTCAAACTAGTCCAAAAAAAAGAAAAGGAAGGAAAACTTCCAAATTCATTCTATGAAGCCAGCATTACCCTGATACCAAAACCAAATAAAGACTCCACTAAAAACAAAAACTACAGGGGTTCCTGGGTGACTCAGTCAGTTGAGTGTCCAACTTCTGCTCAGGTCATGATTTCACAGTTTGTGGCTCAAGCCCCACATCAAGCTCACTGCTGTCAGTGCAGAACCTGCTTTGGATCCTCTGTCCCGATCTCTCTCTGCCCCTCCTCCATTCATGCTCTCTCTCAGAAAAATAAACATTAAAAAAGAGAGAGAGAACTACAGGCCAATATCTCTCATGAACAACAAAATACGAACACACCAAACCGAACAGTACATTAAAAGTGTCATTTGCTATGGTCAAGTGGGATTTATTCCTGGTTTGCAAGAGTGGCTCAATATTCACAAAAATTCAGTGTGATACACCACATTAATAAAAGGCTAAGAACCATATGATCCTCTCAATAGATGCTGAAAAAGCTTTTGACAAAATATAGCATCTTTACTTAATAAAAACACTCAACAAAGTAGGTTAGAGAAAACATACCTCAACATAATAAAGGCCATATACAAAAGAAAACAAAACAAGAGCAAACAAACAAACAAAAGCAAACCTAGAATTAATATCATCCTGAATTGGGAAACACTAAGAGCTTTTCTTCTATGGTCAAGAATAAGACAGGGATGCTCACTCTCATCACTGTTATTTAATATTGTATTGGAAGTCCTAGTCACAGCAATCAGATGATGTAAAGAAGTGAAAGGCATCTAAAGTGGCAAGGAAGAAGTAAAATTTTCACTATTTGCAGATGGTATGATAGTATATATATAGAAAACCTGGAAGAATGCACCAAAAGATCTCTAGAATTGATACCTAAATTCAGTAAAGTCACAGGATACAAAATCTACATGCAGAAAATGTATTTCTCTCCATCAAGAATGAAGCACCAGAAAGAGAAATTGAGAAATCAGTCCCATTTTCAATTGCATCAAAACTCAAAAGACACCTAGGAACAAACCTAACCAAAGAGGAAAACATTTATCCCCTGAAAATGATAAAACACTGATGAAAGAAACGGAAGAAGACACAAAGAAATGGAAAAACATTCCATGCTCAAGGATTGGGAAAACAAATACTATTAAAATGTCTATGCAATCTACACATTTAATGCAATCTGTATCAAAATATCAACACTATTTTTCACAGAGCTAGAACAAACAATCCTAAAGTTTGTATGGAACCACCAAAGACTTTGAATAGCCAAAGCAACCTTGAAAAAGAAAAGCAAAGCTGGAGACATCACAGCTCTGGACTTCAAGTTATATTACAAAGCTGTAGAGATCATTACAGTGTGGTACTGGCACAAAAATACACACATCGATCAATAGAACAGAATAGAAAAACCAGAAACAAACCAGAACTATATGGTCAATTAATCTTCAGCAAGACAAGAAAGAATATCCAATGGAAGAAAGATAGTCTCTTCAACAAATAGTGTTGGGAAAACTTCACAGCAACATGCAAAAGAATGAAACTGGACCACTTTCGTACATCAAACACAAAAATAAGTTCAGAAAGGATTAAAGATTTAAATGTGAGACAGGAAGCCATTAAAATCCTAGAGGAGAACGCAGGCAGTAATGTCTTTGACACTGACTGTAGTAACTTCTTACTAGGTATGTCTCCTGAGGCAAAGGAAACAAAAGCAAAAATAAACTATTGAGACTTCATAAAAAAAAAAAACAAACCAAACTTCTGCACAGTGAAGAAAACCACCAACAAAACTGAAAAGCAACCTATGGAATGGGAGAAGGTATTTGCAAATGACATATCCAAAATATATAAAGAACTTAGAAAACTGAACAGCCCGAAAAATGAATAATCCAATTAAAAGTGGCAGAAGACATGAATAGACATTATTCCAAAGACATCCACACGGACAACAGACACATGGAAAGATGCTCAACATCATTCATCGTCAGGGAAATACAAATCAAAACTATAATGAGATATCACCTCACACCTGTCAGAATGGCTAAAATCAACAACAGATGTAGGAAAGGAAGGGGAGAAAGGGAGACCCTCTTAGATTGTTCATGGGAGTGAAAACTTGTGCAGCCACTCTAGAAAACAATATGGAGTTTCCTCAAAAACTTAAAAATAGAATTACCCTACAATTCAGCAATTATATTTACCCAAAGTTTACAAAAATACTAATCTGAAGGGATTCATGCACTCTGATGTTTACAGCAGCATTATCAACAATAGGCAAATTATGGAAAGAGCCCAAGTGTCCATGGACTGATGAATGTATAAAGATGTGGTATATATGTATATGTACACACACACACACACACACACACACACGGGAATACTACATGGAGATCAAAAAGAAAGAAATCTGAAATCTTGTGATTTGCAACAACAAATGGACGGAACTAGAATGTATTAGGCTGAGTGAAATAAGTCAGAGAAAAGACAAATATATGATCACTCCTACATGGAATTTAAGAAGAAAACAGATGAACATAGGGGAAGGGAAGGAAACATAAAATAAAAAGAAAAAAGAGTGAGAGAGGGAGGCAAACCATAAGAGACTCTTAAATGTAGAGAACAAACTGAAGTGTGCTAGAGTGGAGGTGGGTGAAGGGAGATGGGCTAAATGAATGATGGGCATTAAGGACGAGATTTGTGATGAGCACTGGGTGTTGTATGTAAGCGATGAATCACTGCGTTCTACTCCTGAAATCAATACTACAATGTATGTTAGTTAACATATTTTTGTGGAAAACTATCTTTCTTTTCAGATAAATATTAAGATAACTTTGGAAATTTCCCCCCAAATTACACTGTGATGTTGATTAGGATTCTATTATAGTTATGAATTAAAATTAGAAGGGTTTTAATCAGGGGCGCCTGGGTAGTTTAGTTGGTTAAGCGTCTGACTTTAGCTTAGGTCATGATCTCGCGGTTCGTGAGTTCAATCCCCGCGTCGGGCTCTGTGCTGACTGCCAGCTCAGAGTCTGGAGCCAGTTTCAGAGTCTGTATCTCCCTCTCTCTCTGACCCTCCCCTCCTAATGCTCTCTCTTTAAAAAAAAAAAAAGAAGGGTTGTAATCATTTCTGTATTTTATCTTCTCATACAGTGGAATAGATAGCATAACTCTTCATCCATTCTGGTCTTCTGTAGTCATTCCATACAATTTCTTCACCAATGTTATGCACATTCCTTGTTAAAGCCATCACTCTATCTGACATTGTTATTGAAACTAAAATAAGCTATTCTTCAATTATACTTTCTAAAAGGCTTGTTAGTATACAAAAGGTCTCAAATCATGTAGTGTTTATTTTATAATTATCCATCTAACTATAGTCTCTTGGTACTCTCAGTGGTAGTTGATTTGATTTTGTTGGGTTTTCCAACCGTGACCATATCATCGATTTTATAATGATATTTCCATTCTACTATATCATTTTTTGGTCTACTTTCTTTTTCAGGTAGATTGACATCCTCTACAGAAAGATGTTCAGTAACAGTGGCAATTACAGAAATCCTTGCCTTATTTCAGTGTTCACTCCTGAAGTATACAACATGCTTTTAACATTGATGATAAAACTTAATAGTACACTTAAGCTGAAGCAATCATCTTGAACAATATAGAAATAAAGAATGGTTAGTTTTCCTACAGCAAAGTGTTCATAAAGTTATTTAATAATAAAAGTTATGTCCCTATTTTTCAATTATTATCACCATTGGAATTGTGTCAAGAAAATGATCTAGAGATTTAGTATCAGATATTTTTAAAAATCTCCATCCACAGAAAATTAATGTGTTTGGCCTCTAATAACTCTGTTTCATAAAAACTCTAATGTTTTCTTGGGTAAATAGAGTGTTCCTGCCATATATGTACCATCATTTTTATACCATTATTATTTGTTATGCTGTAAGCAACCACTAGATATTAGTACATTAAATCTACCTCTCAATATATACACTTTACTGCATATACCTCAATATACACACACATCTATGTTATATACATTTTACTATACATACCTCAATGTACACAACACATCAATATTATGCACATAGTTTTTACTGGCAAACATATTTTAGATATCTCATGCTTAAGAAATGTTGATGCATATAAAACTAAACACCATGTAACCACATAAATACATGCAAACTAATGAGAATGACAGTATTATGAATTAGGCTAAAAAATTACTTGTAATCAAGTACTAGAATCCGTCCTGTCAGAAAACAGAAACAAAATGAAAAGCAGTGTTTCTCTGGACATTAGGACTCTCTCTCAAAACAAAATTCAAGACAATGTTAATATAAATCCTGCTCTTTGTAACATCTGGTTTCTGTGCATTTGTGCTTTAAGTCTGAAGAGACGTGATGTTATTATTTCATGGCAAGCTTGAATAATATGTGTGATTTGCAAGCTACGCAAACCCATGAAGCTTGGTTATAGATATTAAATAAGACAGTAAATTTTTTTCCATTATTAAATATATACTATGTGCTTAAAGCATTTAGAGGAAGCAACAAAGGAATTCCCGAATTAATGGGTGTGAGGGCTTCTCCTCCAAATGAATACACTGTTAATGACATGCTTTTCATACAAATTAGTTGATAAAATGCGCAGCATTATCACTTGTGGTTTGTCACATGCACTACTGAGGGTGTATAAAAGGCCGCGAGGAAACAGAAGTTCATATTCTGTAAGCGGACGCTGTACTCTCACCTAAATCCTCAACTCTTGACACCATGAGCTGTTACTACGGCAACTACTATGGTCTGGGCTATGGCCTTGGCGGCTTGGGCTGCGGCTACGGCTATGGCTGTGGCTATGGCTGTGGCTATGGTGCTGGCTACGGCGGCTATGGATACAGCTGCTACCGCCCACGTTGCTATGGAAGATATTGGTCCTCTGGCTGCTACTGAGAAAACGTGAACACAACCTTGCACACGACAGAAGACTTTCATCTGATTTTCTTCTTGCTGACTCCACCTTCTAGGTATCTCATTCCGTTGGTGCCTCTCTTCTATGAAATAATGATGAACCAATCCTCGATTATTTGGATAAGCCCTCCTTCAGATTTGCCATGCCAAGACCTACTTGATAAGAATCATCTGGATTTGAAATTCTAATATTGGAGGGAGATGGGGAGATTTACAGTGCGGGTACTGATTCTCCTTTGGGATACATTTTTTTTTGGCAGAACTACCATTCCCAACTGTGCATGAGAGACTTGTGAAAACTCACTTTACATTAAACTTACTTTGCCTGGCATTGTAAATGACCACAGTGTTTCTTCTATGCCTCACAGACAAGTGTTCTACATGTACAAGCACTGAGTGTGAGTTTATGCCGTGTGTCTGCTGTTTGTGCCCGTGTGCTTTGTGAAAGCTTCTGGCGATGCTCTTATACCCATAATCCTGTGTAACCATAAGGGGAGGGAGACTGTCCAGGGTTTTTTTTCACACTTGGTTCAAAGTATATCAACACAGCTGTAGCTGATCTTATCCAGTCTCATATCTTCACAGTGGGATCGTTATGCAACATTATAACACCATTTTCCACTGCCGTACTCAAAACCCTGCTGTCTTTTACTGTTTTCAAGCAGGACAGGACTCTGTTCTGTTGTCGGAAGCTGTGCTCTGTATAGATTTTGTCTCCTGTGGCTGCTTTTTTGGCCTCACTTAAACAACAATTGAAGAAGCTCAAACAGCCTTCAGAATTATATAGAAATGGGTTAGCTAAGTCGCCATCCTTGTTCCTAGGTGCCCTGAGCTCTATGTTATATGCGGATATGCAGCTCTGTAAGTACCTCCTCTGGGAGTCCGATAGACATTTGTCATATTGTAGATATTTGCTCCTTCAAATGTCCTACCTTGATTTCTTTTGTCTTGATAATAGACTAGTTACGTTTATTTAAACCAAAAGTCCCAGTCTATGATATGTGTATGTTTGAACATCATTTCTATTTCTAGGCTTCCGGAAATACCTGCACTGTCCTGGATATTCTGTTTGCCTATTGTTTCTACTTCCAATTGCCATCTTCACCTCTTATTCAACATTAAAAAAAAATTTTAACAGGACTTGCTTCACTGAGGATAAAGCCCTACAAAAATAGCAATGGTATGGAAGTCTATTGTCTTTCTGAAAAACTTTTTTTTCAGTTGTGAAGAGGAAAGTTCTCTTGAAATGTCTTAAAATGAATGACAGCTTTCGATGGAAAACTGCATTCAAGGTATAAACACAAAATAGGTCAATATTTAATCTACTTATATTTTAACTTATGACAGTGACATCCTTAGGTCTGGAGTCTATAAACAAAACTAATCAAAAACAAAAGCACATGAAGTCTGGAATAAAGTGGGGGGGGGAATTTTTTTTAAATGCCACATTTTATTGCTTTCAAGAAAATAGGATGCTCATGACAAACAAAATAGTATCTCTGTATTACTGAAAATATTGATAAAGAGTGACTCTAGATTTGACTCATCTAACTGTAGGAACAGACATCAGTAGCAAGTAGTAGACATAAGTGCAGCATATCATAGAGTATCCGAATGGATTTAAAACAAACAAACAAACCAAGACCCACCAATAAGTTGCTTACAAAAGACTCATTTTAGACCCAAAGACACTTCCAGATTGAAAGTGAGGGGGTAGAGAATGATTTATCACACTAATGGACATCAAAAGAAATCTGGAGAGCCATACTTATATTAGGCAAACTGGATTTTAAACCAAGGACTAAAGGAGTGCCTGGGTGGCTCAGTCAGTTAAGCACCTGACTTTGGCTCAGGTCATGATCTCATGGTTTGTGAGTTTGAGCCCCACCTCAGACTCTGTGCTGACAGCTCAGAGCCTGGAGCCTGCTTTGGATTCTGTGTCTCCCCCTTTCTCTGACCCTCCCCTGCTCACATTCTTTCTCTCTCTGTCTTAAAAATAAATACATATTAACAATTTTTTTAATAAAAAAATAAACCAAGGACTAATAAGAGATGATGAAAGGCACTGTATCATAGTAAGGGGTTCTATCCAACAAAAGATCTAACAATTGTAAATATTTGGAATGTCTAAATATATAAATAAAAATACTTGGACTATTCAAATATATAAATCAACTGATAACAAACTCAAACAAATTCTTTGATAATAATCATATGATAATAGGGGACTTTAACACTCCACTCACAGCAATGGACAGATCACCTAAGCAGAAAATCAACAAGGAAGCAATGGCTTTGAATGACACACTGAGCCAGATGGAGTTAACAGATATATTCAGAGCATTGTATCCTAAAGCAGCAGAATACACATTCTTTCCAAGTGCACATGGAACATTTTCCAGAATAGATCACATCTGGGTCACAAATCAAGACTCAACCAGTAAAAAAAGATTGAGGTCTTACTATACATACTTTCAAGCCATGCCACTATGAAACTTAAAGTAAACCACAAGAAAAAGTTTGGAAAGACTTCAAATACATAGAGATTAAAGAGCATCTTATTAAAATATGAATGGATTAACCAGAAAATTAAGGAAATTTAAAAATACATGGAAGCACATGAAATTGAAAGCATGACAGTCAAAACCTTTGGGATGCAGCAAAAGTGCTCATAAAAGGGAAGTATATAGCAATACAGGTCTTCCTCAGGAAGGAAGAAAAGTCTTAAATACACAACCTAAACTTACACCTAAAGGAGCTTGATAAAGATCAGCAAATAAAGCCACAAAACAGCAGAAGGGGAATAATAAAGACTGAAGTAGAAATAATTGATATAGAAATTTAAAAAAAAAAGTGGGAGAGTTCAGCAAAACTTGGAGCTGGTTCTTTGAAAGAATTAGGAAAACTGATAAAAGCCCTAGCCAGACTTATGAAAAAGAAAAGAGAAGGACCCAAATAAATGAAATCACAAATGAAAGAGAAGAGATCACAACCAAAACCACAGAAATACAAACAATTATAGGATACTATTATTAGCAATTTTATGCCAACATGTTAAGCAATCTGGAAGAAGTCAATACATTCCTAGAAACATACAGACTACCAAAATGGAAACAGGAAGCAATGAAAAATTTGGACAGACCCATAACTAGCAAAGCAAAGAAATTGAATCAGTAATTAAACATCTTCCAACAAACAGGAGTCTTGGGCCAGATGCCTTCCCAGGGGAATTCTACCAACTACTTATTTATTTACTTATTTATTTTAAAATTAGTTAACATATGGTGCAATATTGGTCTCAGAAGTAGAATTCAGTGACTCATCACTTACATACACCACCCAGTGCTTGTTGCAAGTCCTTCTTAGTTCCCATCACCCATCTAGACCATCTCCCAGCCACCTTTCTCTCAACACATAGTTTGTTCTCTATCATTAAGAGTCTTTTGTGATTTGATTCTCTCTCTTCTCTCCCTGCCTCCTTCCCATATGTGCATCTGTTTTATTTCTTAAATTCAACATATGAGTGAAATCTTATGGTATTTGTCTTTCTCTGACTTATTTTGCTTAGTACAATACACTCTAGTCCCTTCCATGTCATTGCAAATGGCAAGATTTCATTAGTTTTTATGGCTGAGTAATACTCTGTTATATATACATACATACATACATACATACATACATACATACATATATACATACATAAACACACACACACACACAAACACCACTTCTTCTTTATCAATTCATCAGTCGATGGACATTTGGGCTTTCTCCATACTTTGGCTATTCTTGATAATGCTGCTCTAAACATTGAGGTGAATGTACCCCTTCAAATCTGTATTTTTGTATCCTTTGGATAAATACCTAATTGTGCAATTGGTGGGTTATAGGGTAGTTCTATTTCTGGTTTCTTGAAGAATCTCCATACTGTTCTCCAGAGTGGCTGCACCACTTTATATTCCCACCAACAGTGCAAGAGGATCCCCTTTCTCTTTATCCTCCCAACACCTGTGTTTTCTTGTGTTGTCTACCAGACATTTACAGCAGAATAAATACCTATTCTTCTGAAACTGTTCCAAAAAAACAGAAATGGAAGGAAAAATTCCATACTCGTTTTATGAGGCCAGCATTACCTTTATTCCAAAACCAAAGACCTCACTAAAAATGAGAATTATAGGTCAATACCCCTGATTAACATTGATGCAAAATTTCTCAACAAGATACTAGCGAATCAATCCAGTAGTACATTAAAAGAATTATTCACCATGATCAAGTGGGATTTATTCTTGGGATGCAGTGTGGTTCAATATCCACAAATCAATCAACATGATACAGCACATTAATAAAAGAAAGGATAAGAAACTTTTGATTCTCTCAATAGGTGTAGATGTAGAAAATAGATGTAGAAAAATCATTTGACAAAATATAGCATCCTTTCTTGATAAAAATTCTCCAGAAAGTAGAGATAGAAGGAATATACCTCAACATCATACAGACCATATACAAAAAGACCCACAGTTAATACCATCCTCAATGGAGAAAAACTGAGAGATTTTTCCCTAAGGTCAGGAACATGACAGGGATACCCACTCTCACTACTGTTGTTCAACATAGTACTGGATGTCCTGGCCTCAGCAATCAGAAAACAAATGGAAATGAAAGGCACCCAAATCAGCAAGGAAGATGTAAAACTTTCACTCTTCACAGATGACATGATACTCTATGCAGAAAACCCAAAAGACAATAAATCAGCTAGAACTCATCCATGAATTAAGCAAAGTCATAGGATCTAAAATCAGTGTGCAGAAATCTGTTGCATTTCTATACACAAATAATGAAGCAGCAGAAAGAGAAATCAAGGAATCGATCCCATTTACAATTGCACCAAAACCCATCAGATACCTAGGAATAACCGTAACCAAAGAGGTAAAAGATCTGTACTCTGGAAACTATAGACTATTTATGAAACAAATTGCAGAAGA